TCTACTTTACGTGTAGACAATGTAGACAATGTTGACAATGTGTCAACAATGTAAAATAACATAAATGACGTTTAATTCTAACCTCACACTTTCCTTTTTTAAAATTATTCTTATTTTATTATTGATTTTCCTGATATTTTCTAATCAGTGAATGCTGATATCGAAGTGATTGTGATAGTATAGTAACTTTTGATATTTTTTTCCGAATTTTTTAATAGTTATTTGTATACCAAGGCCGCGAAGTGCCTTTTAGCGTACGTAGAGAAAAGTTATCGCCGAGGCCGCTTGCGGCCGAGGCAAGATAATCTCGAGGACGCTAAAAAGTTTCGCGGTCTTGGTATACACACTATTTTTTGTGCAACCATGAAAATTATGTGGAATTACAGAAAAAATGTACTCCTTTCAACAAACATGTGGAACTAATTATCAGTTTGATGTATAACCTGGTGGCTATAGTGGCACAGTATTTCTATGGATGTCATGGATGACATATTTTGCAAGTAAACAAATACACACAAAATTTTGACATTTCTCAAAAAATCGTGAAAATATCCGACAACGATACATATGTTTCACTCTCTTGCACTCTTCCAGAGTTAAAAAAATATGGTTCAATCAGCTATTTCTGAGTTAATACCTGGAAAACTAAGTGGCAATATGAAAATTGTTACTGCGAGTTCAAAAAATTGGTGTGACAAAAAAAACGTCAAAATAATGTCTGAAAATATATTGGCTAATTTAATGCAGAAATGGGAAGTTTTGAGAGTTCAATTCAAAAACACTGGTTCATTAGTTGCTTCAGCTTAACGAGTAAAAATTAGTAATAATGCAAATTGTCATGTAAGTGTTAATATTTATCCCAAATAATTTATGTTGTTCTGAAGAATTTGGAAATAAAATTTACCTGTTGTTGTCAAAATGTCAAATTTTGATTTATGGTTTCGCGGCCGTCACCAAGGGCGCGGACTGTGTGGCGGCCGCGAAAGCTCATTTTGCGGATGGTTGCACAAAAAATAAGTTATTGTTTACGCCGCATGTAGACAATGTGTAGACAAATGCTCACGTAAACAATTGTCTACGCGTAGACAATCAATTGTTTACGTTGACATTGTCTACAGGCACATCACTGGGTACTAGGTGTTTATTTTTAACTGGAACACTCAGTAACTTTCTTATATTATTTAAAATAAAGGGCATATTTAAGTTATTATATTATTAAGGAAAATTTCTTGGTAAATTTCAACCTTAAGTGCTACAATGATATTTTTTTGTCGTCATAGGTTTACAGGGTGCGCCAAAAAGATATTTTTTTAAAATGGAATGCCCTCTATATTTTTGTTATCCAAATAATATATAATATGTTTGTGAAGCTAACTTTCTAAGAATTTCAAAAATGCAAAAATATACAGGGCTTTCCATTTGAAAAAATGACTTTTTTGGCGCTCCCTGTATACCTATGGCGACAAAAAAAATCTCGTTGTAGCGATTAAGATCGTTGCAATTTACCAAGAAATTTTCCAATTTAAACATGCCCATTATTCTCAATATTAAAAAAGTTATTGAGTGTTCCAGTTATAAACAAACACCCCGCTACAAAAAACGGTGCGGAATCTCTCGTTAGCCTCGTTTACCGAAGAGATTTTCTTTGGGAATGATCCAAACCTCGATGTAAATATGGTGAGTTGCAATGATTGTACTTCTTCCATTGTGCCTGGCCACAACACAACTGCAAAATCACAAAACACCAATACCAATTACCAATCCCCAAAATAATAACAATAGCATCATAAAGCTGTAACCAAAAGATTAACCCAAGTCCAAAGCTGGGTTATAATCGGTTATAAGTGGTAAATACTAAAAGAAAATAAGTTGATCTGTGACGTCACGTAATTTCCCCTTTTTTTGTAAAAACCGCGACAGCGGAAATGCATTGGTTGAAACCAAATAATAATCATTCCTGGCTGAAAATCGCCTAGACGGCAACCTAAGGGCGAGTTCTCATGAGAGTAAGTTAACATTTCTGGCGTAATTACCTACGTGTTAAAATGGTTTGGTTTTATTGGTAAAATATCCAGCATGGCGAATATTTTACCAATAAAACCCTCTCATTTTATCACGTGATTACGCCAGAAATGTCAACTATTCAGTCACATTACCACAGTTTATACCGTACCGATACAGTTGTTCGACTCCGTTGACAAACCATAGATTTTTTTGAAGCCAAATTCTATGCTCCTATATTTCGCGCTTGCGCATTATTGATCGGAAACAACAAATCCTGGGCCGTGGACAGAGTCGGACTAGGATTTTTTGTGGATTAACATTGAGAATATAACAGGATCATATAATAATAAACAAAGATTATGTGAATGTATAGAGTAAACCTAATATTAAATATGTAAATATAAATACTTACAGTCGTTCATCGTTCGAGAAACTAAAATATCCTAAGCCTGGGCTAGTTCTATAGTGTTGTTTTTACAGACAAAACAGGAAGCAACCATGATAATACACAATATATAAACGATAAAACAGTCAAGTACACAAAAATCGCGAATAACACGGAAAGCAAGACACTCTTAAGCCGAATTTCAAATTGATGAATTTTCCGGTTACTTTTCAATTTTCTAAATAATTTCAGTCAAAAAACTTCTCTTCTTTTTTTGTAATACAATCCTGTTGCGTGTCTCGTTTGACAGTTATTTCTCGCGGGTTCTCACCCAAGCTATCTCTATCTCTTTTTTGCGTGCAGGATTGGAAAGAGGCATGTATATGCCGAACTGCTTTTTCAATTTGAGAGATTTGTTCACTCATTGAGCGCATGCGCAAGATATGGGACAAAATGCTCCTATTGGTTGGAGAATTTGGCCTCAAAAAATATGGAGAGTTGTACAACTGTATCGGTACGGTATAAACTGTGACATTACATCGGTTCGGTTCTCGATTCTGGTGTCGTCCAGTGTATACAAATGTGAACAACACTGTCAAAATGACAGCCAGCTGATGTTTTTAAAGCGTTGACAGCCGTTGACCGGCCGTTTAGAACGGCCGGTTAAACATCAGGACGGCAACCTTAGAGCAGGTAAAGCGCTGTCCTACGGACATAAGGAGTATGAACGCGCCATTCTGCTTATGAAACTAAAGTGAAGCCAAGTTTTTGGCAGGTGTTTGAAGGAATTACCTATACCGCCATTTTTTTGGTGCCAAAATACCTGAAAAAAAAAAAACGGCTTCATTTTGCAACTCCATGTTACTACTCCTCTTCACCTTTACCTGCTCTAAGACGGCAACACGTTTAACGGAAATCGTAATCAGAAACCGTTTTGTTTCAATTGTTCGAAAAGCCAACGGCAACCGGTAATAGTAATCAGCAACGGCAAGTATAATACGGCAATACGGGCTTTTAGTGCTATGTGCTACTGAGCCGCTTTTGGGTGCTACCCACTAGGCAGTTTTCCCCCGAGTTACTCAGAAGTAGATACTCCGGCTACAGTTTGACCCGTTCGGGGTTCGGGTGAACAGAGTTTGGCGCTCTCGAGCTGCTCTCATTTCCTCGCCTCTTACCCCTGAAGCATCTTGCATTTTATGGTTGCGTTACGCTCCGGATCATACGGTTTCAAGTTTCAAGCATTCGGGTGTTAAACGTATGGAGTATATCCGGTGTGAAATGTTCTAGGAGCTTGGCAATCGAGAGAGGCTCTAGATGAAAGCTCAATAAATAACCCACCGTTACAATCACAGAATACATATCCTTACGGATAGAAGGCAAACTGCCTAATAAAATTTTGGGGAACAATGCACCGTCATGGCGCGGTGGATGCGATCCGAACTATTTATAATAAAGGTTTCTGTAATCAAATATGCTTTTAAAATAGTTCTCCCAATGTCAATATTTTCAATATTATATTTGTTCGGACTTCAGTTTACAATTGAATTACGCTTTCCCATTTCTTTATATAAGTTTGATATGACCAAATGCGCAAGCGTAGTCCAATATAAAACTGATTTTGAGCTGAAGTCCAAACAAACCTTTTTCCTCATTATAGTCATTATTGAATATTGACGGATTTTTCTTCCGAGTAGAGCAAAAACGGCCAAACTTCTTGTGTTTTGTGTAAAATCTAATTTTTTTTTCGAATTTAGGAAACATTTATCTGGATTTAAAATGCACACCAACACCAAGACGAATTCTCATTCAGAACTATTTTGACATATTTCTTTTAAACATAGGTAACAGGTAAACTGCCAAACTAAACTTGTTTGCTTTGGTACAATTAATCAAAAAATAAATGTATATTTTTTTGTTTAAAGAAAATAGGACTAAAAAACTCAAAATCCAACCAGTGTTGCCAGAGGTGATATAATTTTACCAGATTTGGTACCATTCGCTTTGAAAAAGTACGCTGGTACGACGTTGGCAGGTACAGTTTTCAATTTCTTTTTTCTTTCTAAATTTTCAGTCTTAGCCTACTGCCTACTTAGTCTAATGTCGATGTTCTAATTAATTTGTATTTCTGTATCTAAATTCGATGTAACAATAATTTCTGATTCGTAAATAGATGGCGCCACCAATGTAACCCTCGTTTTGTGGTTCTTGGTTGACGTAGTTCGTAGTTTGTGTTAAGTTTAGGTTTCCACTTTTCATCAAATTAAAACAAAACGTGCTTTCCTATTGGATCAAAAATATTCCTCATTTTCCAGGAAACGCATGCGCATTATAAGCTGGTACATTTTGACTGAATCTGGTACAACCTATTTTGCATGTCTACCCATGGTCTACACCCAAAAAATAATTACAGATTTCTCAAAACAGCTAAAGATTTCTTTATATTCCCCTCAATTTACAGATGTCTTCATTTAACTTTGGCTACTTTGGAACTATCGATATTGATACAGGTCTATCGATACTATCGAAAATTTAAAAAATATCGATAGTATCGATATTCCTATCGATAGTTTGTTATCCCTAATGTGTTCTGTGGTTACAATAAAAGTTACCAAGACGATATACTGACATGTGCCAACATGTCATAAAAACGTGTCTATTTTATAAAAATTGACATATAGAGTCATCAAAGAAAGTTGAAAATGCGCAGCAGTTTGTGGAAATATGTATCATTACTTGTTGCACTTGCTGCATATTGCTCTGGAGACGATCCTAGTGTTTCAGAAAAACGGCCGTTCCAAAATTCCACCTATTTGGTAGAAGTGATAAAAGAAGACACAAAGGAAAGAGTAGCCGTGGGTACCCTGGTGTCTCCTACTCGAGTCTTGACTTTAGCGAAGCCATTGGTTCTCGACCCCTCAAGGTATGCAGTCAATCAACAGGTTAAAGAACGAAAAAAACGATTTCTCATTACTGCAAAGGTCCTGTCGATAACAGTAATAGAAGCATCTACACTGGCAAAACCAAGAATGAACCTGAATGTTGCTCTCCTAACCATATCAACAAATCCTCGGCGCCGGCTTCGTTCATCCCGATTACTTCCATCCTCATATGTCAATCTGTGGTCAGTGGAGAACGAATACGAAAAGGAGAAATTGGAGAAATGGATTTTAGTGAAGCAACTACGGGAGCAGGATGAACTCATTGCTTTAGGGCTTCGCCCACCACGGATACCGGTGAACCTATTAAGTGCTGCGGAGAAACTGGTTTTATTGCAGAAAATGCAGGATGAGGAGCGATACCTTGCTCTAAAAGCTTCTTTAGATCTCTTTCCCGTGCCGAGCCCATCAGATCTTTTTTTGATGAACCGCATGCGCAAGCTGCACCCCGCGCCAAAAAAATTAATAGGCGCACCTTGTAAAAAAGCCACAGTTTTAGGCTGGAAACAAAGCGCTACGGTGGATCTACTTGGAGCGAGGAAGTGTGCAGAACAATTCAACATTCAGTTAAATGAAGGACAATTCTGTAGCTTGAACGCGGAAAATTTATTTTGCGATGCAAATCAACAAGGCAGTCCAGTCATGTGCGGCAATTTCCAAGTTGGTATATTGATTCCTGGGCGTTACTGCAACGGAACTGACAACGGCCCACCTGGAGAGCCACTTCAGTTTTCCCCCATCGCACATTACATGGATGGCATCACCAAAGCTATGAAACCACGAAATAATGAAATACCGCCATCAAATGATGAACCAACACTAACAACTTATAGCGAGGGAATTTGCTTGAAACCCTATACAAATATTTTTGTTTTATTATTGATTGCTAAATTATTGTGAAATTTTTTTGAAACAATAAATATCCATTTACATCTGAATCGTGGCATTGAGGAAAGCAATTATTATGGTTTGTCACATTAATATTTAAAATAGTTTGGAGAGAACATATCGCTTCAATGTAGCTGCGTGCCTATTTTATAATAAACTAAAAGCAAGCATAGGCAAGATATATGTATAGACATAATTGAACTTCGTTGACCAGTCAGAAACAACTACTCCGAGGGCAAATACCCCTACCGGCGTTGAACTACACTGATTGGTCTGAGCTTTCGTTGGCAATGAAAATTGTTAGAAAGATTTTTTTCAGGTAATGACCAACGTGAATACAGGAACACAACGGTCCCTGTTTGGGAATCGACCCACTGAGCAGTGGACCCAGACTTCCCGTGCCAATCCTTGACGCGTTTCGTCCTTGTTAGGACTCATCAGAAGGACATAGGCTGAAGCTCCCTGTCCAAGCAAAATTGAACTTCGTTGACCAGCTCAGACCAATCAGTGTAGTTCAACGCCGGTAGGGGTATTTGCCCTCGGAGTAGTTGTTTCTGACTGGTCAACGAAGTTCAATTTTGCTTGGACAGGGAACTTCAGCCTATGTCCTTCTGATGAGTCCTAACAAGGACGAAACGCGTCAAGGATTGGCACGGGAAGTCTGGGTCCACTGCTCAGTGGGTCGATTCCCAAACAGGGACCGTTGTGTTCCTGTATTCACGTTGGTCATTACCTGAAAAAAATCTTTCTAACAATAGACATAATTGTTTTGAGGGAACAAAAGGGTCTCTATTGGGTTACAATGTAATTCCTCCCTTCTTATAAGTGGTTGCAAATTGGGGTTGTTCCATTCCGAGCGCACCCACAAAAACATTTTATCATGGTTCCTGGATTTTTGTAACCATGGATGAGACTTTTTTTTGTTATAATTAATTATGGCGTTTCCAATTGTCATTATTTGTCATTATTATTCTTGAACCACAGAACATATCACCTATAGAAAAATATCTCAAATGGAAGAATCGCGACAAAGGTTTTTAGTTAGGTTTTCATTCAACGATGGCGACACTGTCGGGAGATAAGAGAAATTTACAGGTATCTGTGGTGTGGACAGTGATTTGTGTTGGTTGGTTTTGTCATTTATTTTGTCATTTTAAAAGTCAAAATTTGAATTTTTAAATTGTGTTGTTGTACCCGTTGTACCCCACGGTTTCCACGCGCGTTAAAGTGAAAATTCAAAAAGTTTTGGTTGAAAAAAAAACCTAATTTTTGTTCGTATTTTTTTGTATTTATTCGTTTGTTTCGTTTCGTTCGTATTTGTATTTATTATTCGTATTTACTTTGCGATCTATCTATAACTGCGTGTCTCTTGCTAACTTACTAACTCTTTTTGCACTATGTTCGACATCGGAAACTTCCTGCCAGTCATAGTTTTTAAAAAAATGAGGCGAAAAGAGCTAAGAAGAGTCAGCAAGCCAAATGCAGTTGAACATTAAAAATTATACAAAAATAATAAAAATATATGAAAAAATCAATTCGCCTTTTTGTCAAGAATACTCGATTAGTTGGGTTTTCAGTCAACGAGGGCGCCGTAATTCATAACCGGTACATACCATTGCAGATACTTTTCTAGAGGTGATATGTTCTGTGTCTTGAACTTTGTCAAATCGTTAACACACGTTCACAGTCCATTTTTATCGAGATCTTTATCAGAATAAAATCGTTTTTGTCAAACCTAGTTGTTTGACTGGTCCTTCGAAAATCGAAATCATCGAAAACCCCAACATTTTGGTCCCATCCCTAATAACACAGTAACATCGCAGAAACATTCCAGAAACATCCATCAGGGATAATGAAGACGTCCCTGGGAGGTCCCTATTTTCCTGGGGACATCCCTGGGATGTTGCAGGCAACAGCCGTGTCATCATTTGCGATGTCCTATAAACATCTCTCAGGGATGTTTCTAAGATGACGCGGGATGTACCTAATACATCCGGGGCAGGTGTAAGAAACATCCTCTATATGTTTCTAGTATGACTTTAATAGGTGAATGAATTTTAGGATTATGGATTAAAAATTACCTAATTCAATAATTTTCAATTTTCGTTCTATTTTCTGGAAGTCAGAACTTTTTCCAAAAAAAAAACAAAAATTGAAAATTATAAAATTAAGTAGGCACATCAGTTTCCAATAACATTTTTTATTGAAAAAATAAGGTACATGTATACTTATATTGATTATCTATCAACTAATAATAATCGACGGACAATTTTGCCTAAATAATGTAGTATTTATGCCCCGTCATGTCATCGAAAACCATAGTTTGGCAGTGGCAGCATGTTGTAGTAGGGGAGTTCGGCGTTTTCTTTTTTTGTTGGTGCTCCAATTTCATAAAGGTACCATTATCTAACCAAAACAACCACAGAACCAAAATCCAAAGTTCTTGAAGTACAATTCAACTTGCACACCTAGAATGTAATCAACTATGAAAACAAAAAATAATTATTGGTTATTTTCTCTTACCTAATGAAGAATGAAGTTCGGGTTTCTAGGGGCTATTTATCAGAAAAGTTAGAAATTTCCTAACCGACGCCATATTGAAATTAAATAAACTAAACAATTGATAGTTATGCGACGTTATCTTTCAACAAATAATCTTTCTCACCAACTAATAAGCACTGGTAGGTCGCAGAGATCCTTTCGAACACAAAATGGCACAACTAGGTGTAGCGAAAAACCACAAATTGACAAATCCTCAACACAGCACGACGCCATTACGAAATAAAATTCCGCCCAACAACACAAGCGTAGCGCACAGGACGACCCGTTCGACTGATTCTGCCCGTCTGCGCTGGCTGCGGCGCCGACCCGACGTGGTGGCGTGCCCTCCTGTCCTGACCGGTACAAGTACAAATGCCTGAGCACGCGCCTGCGCCATACACTTCGGCTTCACGAATATTCACGATGTTTGAAAGTTGAAAAGAGAGAAGACTTTTATCAATACATATTTTATTTTATTCCAAGTTGTAAGTCGAATGAAAAATTAAATATTGCTGTTGTTACAATACAAAATTAATATTAAGTTCCTTATTATCTATATACATTACAGGTATATTATGGAATTTGAAATTAGTTTGTGTGTGTGATAGAGACATTTTCAGAAATCACACAAAATTGGCAAATTTAATACTGGGTCCTACCGGTCTGAGGTCCTACCTAGTTTTGTAAAATAATGTTAGCCATTTTTTAGCTGTAATAAGTATCTAATTTTGAGAACAAAAAATCTTTTTGTCGATAGATATTTTCGAAAGGATGTTTCTAAAACATTTCAGGACAATCATCCTAGAGATGTTACATTACAAACATCGCAGCGATGTACCATTTATGTCGGAAACATAAGGACCTTAATGGTACATAAATAGGATGTTTCTGGGAGATCGGTGTTATTAGGGATCGAGCGGATTCAGAACGAAGCATCCTGTGGAAAAATCGAAAAACCCAAAAATAAAAAAAATTGAAGAACCCAGCTTGAGTCGAAGCATCGAAGCAGTTAGGACATAGTCGGTAAGCACGTTTCAATTAATTCGATGGGGATAGGAAAATAAAATCTCCAAAAAATTATTGTGGTTTACTGTGTGGCGTCATTGGCGTAGAGTTTGAGCATGTATGTTCTTAATTGTTTTTTATGAGTAGTTTTTATCATGGAAATCGAACCTTTTATAGGTATATATGTATACATTTCTAATCGAAACTTTCTGATTGGTTGCTCTCAGTGGTATCTCATCGTAACTCGAAACATTACCTATATCAATAATCTTATATCGATCGACATTAATAACAATTTATTGCAAAATCGTTCTCGTATTCAGAATCCAGAATTCTTTAAATTTACTCGAAATATCTTACTTATTGACATTCAGTTTGTCATATCGACATTTTCTTGTTATATTTAATTAATTTAAAATCGAAATCACGTAAATCGTATAATCGTATAAAAAATTAAACATATTTAAAAAAAAGTCGTATAGTAAATAAAAAGTCCAGGTAGAATTGCCAATTTATTAACTCAAAAAATGTCACGAAAAAATAGAAATAGTAAACATCAAATGGATGTTAGTTTCAATAATCGCGAAGATGATGAAAGATCAGAATATTTACATGTCAGATCGGTTATATCGGAAAGATTAGAAAGATTTTCAAAATTTCTAATATCAATATCGCTAGAAAACGTAAAAAACATTGATCAATTTGAAATCGAATCGCGTTTAAAAAGTATCGAAGAAGACTACAGAATTCGATAGGGTTCAAACTCGTTTAGAATTCTTATTGCCCGGAGAAAAAGAGAATAGGCTAGACACAGAATCGAAATTTTACTCTAAAATATCAATCGCAAAACGTCTAATCGCACATATTCTGGAAAATGAAAAAATCACATAATTTCACATTCCCAACTACCAACTAATACCAATGCGGCTTTGCCAGATTTAGGGCTACCTAAGTTCTATGGGAAATACGAAAATTGGTACAGTTTTTGGGATCAATTTAAAGCAATCGTGGAAGATAGGTTAGATATAAGCGAAATTAAAAAGTTAATGTACCTAAAATCGTGCTGTCAGGAAGACGCTCTAAAACTTATTGAAAATTTAGATTTAATAGCATGTAACTATACAATCGCTGATGAATTATTGAGGAAGCGATATGAAAATCGAAGAGCAATAATAAACACGCATATCAATACTGTTTTATTTAATTTACCTTCTATTCACAGGGAATCAACTGTTTGTTTAAGAAAATTACTTGATTTAGTTCATCAACACTTGTCAGCTTTAAAAAAGTTACAATTGCCAGTCGAGCACTGGGATGCATTACTGATTCCTGTAATATTGCAAAAGTTAGACGAAAGAACTAAGCGAGAATGGGAGGGTAAACTAAGTGATCAGCATTTACCAACTTTAACAGAATTTACCGAATTTTTATCAAAGAAATGTTTTACTCTAGAGGCGATTCAAGGTAATCATCAAACCAATAAAACTTCGAATCATTATAATCA